TCGCGCGAGCACACGCAATTGTCAGCGGTAGCTAAAACAGATCATGAGCAAATGTCGATCTTATAGAATCCAGATTTTTAAATGCGCGAGAACGCGCGTGGAAATTGCTGAACTCACGAAAGCTATTGCATGAAAACAAGTCCGGTGACCCTTTCTTTTTATTGTTCCAATATGATAATAACGTCGAAAGGAATCATCAGGAAAAAAACTAGAAAATTCTACGGAAGGAGATTTGCGAGATGTGAAAATTGCCTTTTTTCTAGATTTTCTGAAATTCCGCTCCGTATAATTTTTTAAAAATCTATGTGCATTTTCCTTTTCAAGCGCCAAATGCAATCACTGAAAAAAAAAAAAGGAAAAAAAAAAAGGGGGTCACCGGGTTAGTTTTCGAACTATTTAAGCCACAAGCTCAAAGATGCCTCTGAATAAGCCTATGATAGCGTCGCCATGGAAACTGCTAGTGACGAAACGACACCTATTTTTGAATAACCAATGATTATATAATTCAACCCTGTAAAAGAGTTCAACTGGCCTTGGTCAGTCTTTCTGTTGTATTCTTTCAAAGTTACAAACCATCAAAAAGATGAAAACCTGTATGAGCCACCTTAAATGCGATAAAATTTATAAGAAAAAAAAAGAAGGACAAAAAGTTTTCTTACATTGGACACTCAGTGTACTAGTATTGGAAGAAACATTTCCAAGACTGTTTTATGCCACACATTGGTATTCTCCGCTGTCTCTTCTGTTTACGTTCGCTATGATCAGGTTCTTGTTGTCCTCCATGAAAGAAATCCTAGAATTATCACTTGTATCCAAGGGAGATCCATTCATTGTCCAACTTATCGTCGGCATTGGTTCCCCACTAACATCACAAGATAAAGTCACGTCAGATCTCTCCACTGGTCTGGTATCCGTTGAAAAAATTTTTGGTAGATCTAAATCTGTGATTATTAGCAAGAAATACAGAAAATTAAGATACAACACCTTTGAAATACAATTAAACAAATGTCGAATAAGAGCATTACTACCTTACAAAGATATTGATTTTTTTTTCCTTTTTTCTTTGATTTCTAAGCTTCCAATATGAACTTTGAAGATAGTGCCGTAATTTTCCAAGTGAAAAGCAACCAACTAGTCTCTTTTTCGCTTTTTAGCCAGTTAAGTGTGCTCGGCGTATCCTCGTTGCCTGTCATATCTGTCACCAGTCCGTGCTTGGGACGTCCTGGGTCTTACACTGTGGGTTATGCTGAAAATAATATCCAGTTCCCCTCACAAACACCGCATGATGAGCAGGTGGGGCCTAATTTATACAGAGACGTTGGTCTCTATGGTGAATGACGGCTCCCTAAATGGGGGCTCTCCCCAAGCAGGCTGAATGGTGGGTCAAACCAGTCTAAAGCAGACGAATATGCTCAACGTTCAAATTATTACCTACAAATAATAACTTACACAGGACTGAGATCTCCACTGTACTTGAATTTCTGTCTCTATCTGGGTTAGTAATTACTTCTAACGTGTAGCTTCCCTTGTCTGCTCTCTTTACTCGAAGGAGAGTAATTGATGTGTAATGGTTTGTTATGTTCCCGTATAAACGACCTCTGTACGCGTTTCTTATCCAGGGTGTGCTATCGGTAGCTTGTTTGTCCACAAGCTGAAGGTTACCCATTACGAATAACGCCTGACGGAATGACTCCCCTTGGCTAAATGTATACTTCCATTCCAGGGTAATATTTTCACCTT